CGACGTAATGCATAAATCGTAAGATGTGTCGTCTACACAGAATTAGTGTTGAAGCAGTGTGTCACTTCAAATAATCTATTTGATTGTTGCTCGTTTACCTTCTTATGCCTATTGTGACCTTTATATCGCAGAGCGTCATTGGCAACTTTTCAGAAGATGCCGCTCTTGGGAAAACTCATCGACGGCATAAAACGTAAGCGAAAGCAGTCCGCTCCGACGGCTGAAGAAGCAATCAACAATTTACGAGATATCGAGGATCTGTTGGCGAAGAAACAAACCATTCTACGAGGACAAAATCTCCGCCGTAGGTCTCACTTGTCACTCCCCTAACAGTTGGAAGATGAAATTCTACCGAGTTATTCTTTCCAGGAAATCGCGAACGCTAAGAAACACGGGCAGAAAAACAAGAAAGCAGCGCTTGCCGCTTTGAAACGAAAAAAGCATTACGAGACGGAATTGTCCCGAATCGATGGGGTACGGTGGCTTTTTTCTTAGAAGACCCTCATTTGGTACCATAAGCAGTAAAGTACTTTATGCAATGTGCACTTGGTCTCGCCTTCCCCTGTATCTTCATTACAAGCGTTATTTGAAGGTGATGATGAAGATCGAGGCGCAACGAACTGCCCTGGAAGGTGCTGGTCTTAATATGGAAGTGTTGGGAGTGCTAGATCAAACTACAAAGGCGCTACAAATAGCCAATCAAAACTTTGACCTCGACAAGGTAGGGCTCCTTCACCTTCAATTCCGGTGATTCTATTTGTGCTTTTTTTCTTCTGAATTTTTTATATAACCCTCTTTTAGGTCGGAGATCTAATGGACAGCATAGCTGAAGATCTCCAGTTGTCCGACGAGTTTGCCAACGCGATCAGTCAACCAATTGGTGACATCCACGATGAGGATGAGTTGCTCAAAGAGCTCGAAGATCTCGAGAAAGTGAGTGGAAGCTGTTCGATTTGAATGTTTTCCTTTCAGGTCCAATATCTATAGTGAAAGTTCTCAGCCACCCCTTGAGGGTTGAAAGACTATCAGCACTTTTTGAGGGTTAAAAGGCCAATGTGCCACTGTCCACCTTTATGCCCTCACATTCGCTGCAGTTGGTGGAAACGCTACCGTAGTTACTACACTTCCAACTTGCCTCTGTGACTTGTTAAGCAGCAGGTTGAAGGAACATGACGCGCTGGTCATGTGGGCGGAGATAGAGAACCGTTTGTATCTCCCTCGTTAGCGTGAATTTTCTCTTTGTCACTTCAAAACAAACGTGCTAATGGGCTATTTGCAGTGGTCCTCTGTCTCCGCCCATGTGACAACCGTAGAATATGCCTTTAGGAAATCACATCCATTTGCGACTACATAAGATGTATATTCTAGGGCGGTGCGGGTGTCCCGGCGACAGCTGCGTGTCCCCGTAGTGACTCTTCCTCTTTCTATCGGGACCATCAATGGTTTGAGGATTTGGTGAGCCCGTCAATCGCCCCCCTTTTTGGGGGGTTAGTACGACCCCCCCTTTACATAACTTAATGAAGGTTTCTTTCCCCCCCCCGAGGAGGAAGAAACTTCATAAGTTTATGTATAAGTAAGCGCGAAAAATGGAAAAAGTAACAATCCTGAACGAGGCCCCCTCGCTTTTTGCTCATTTCTATCCTGATTCAGAAAAGAGAATAAAAAGAAAGGCCATTAGGTTTCACCCACCTTTCCTTCGAGCAAAACACTCTGGTACCTGAATCAATTGCAATTAAAAGAAAAAAAAACAGGAAATTAAGCCAACTTCTCCTTAAAAGCACTCTGAGCGGTCCAAGCAAAATTGCTGGGGCGCGCTCTGACGCGTATTCGAGTAAACTGAGAGGGAAGTATATTCGAATTATACTTAAACAGGGAAGAAGATAAAACAGCGACAGATAGCTGAATACGAACGAGCAGCAAACCAGGCCGAAATCAGCTGATAAGGACCAACGGTACAGGGAGGCCGATTCTGGGCAGACCCACAGCCGCAAGAATGGTTGCAGGTTGGTTTGATTGAGCGCGGATTGAAGCAGTAGGGGCGTCTTTGAAGAGCCATAAACCTTCCAATAGCGACCTGTGTGAAAAGAAGAAAGCGCAGTCGTTACAGAGAAGATTTTATCTGTCCAAACATGACTGAGCATGTTCATAAAGGTGTGCCAATTCACAGAGAAATTGTGGTTTGGGCGAGTTTTCAGCGGAGTTTGTTTTGGTAATTATGCAGCACGCGTTTTACAGGATTGAACCAAGATATTTCCTAGGACCTAATAGTTCGGGAATCTGAAATTACTATCGAGTTCTAAAAGATTTCCTCTTTCCAAAAACCACTTAAACGTTTTTTGAAGCTCCCGGTAGTCATGAGATAATGCGTTGGATTAGCTGCGGAAACATCCGAAACTGTTCTTTCGAAAAGATCCGTTTTCTGTACGGTTTCAAGGGTGGTTCGGAGATAGCCAGAAATACATGTAGAACGTATCCTGTGGGTGGGCAGGAGCAGGATTGGTTTGTTTAGCGCCAATCATGCTAACTTTGGATGCGCCGCGCATTGAGGTCGCTCCGCAGCAGGTGAGTGGCGATGGTTGATATGTCTTAAGAGCGTAATGTCTGTCCACGCGAGCATATGTGTCTGTAGGATTCAGGGAGGTCCATGGCGAACCTGTGCACTTCGTTTACAGTGTTTTCGTTGCTATGATGGAGCGTGTCCCTGTCGACGCTGCCAGATTCGTGCTCCGCCAATTGCTGATTCCGATAAAGGAGACCAACTGCTGGAAAACGAACGATATGGTAGTCCTGTCGTTTGTCGAAAAAAACAGGTTGGCTCAGCGCCAAGCGCGATCGCGGACACGCCCCATCATCCGCAGCGAACCAGAGTATGAGTTGTACTGTTTAGTCACTTACGAGATGATGTCGACTTTTTATATTTCCAGTTATTTCGGATTTTGATGAATGAAAGTTTTGTACTATTTTTTTTAACATATCCGAGTTCTCTACAAAGCAAAGCTTCGCTGTTCAGGACTCAGCACACTGACGCTCGTTACTGGCTACGCACTCATTACGACCCCCCCTCTCCTGGCGGCCAAAATACGACCCCCCCCCCCCCCTGTGTGGGATTCCCCTACTCAACCGATGAGCCCTTGTCTTCTATAACCTGTGTCTCCTCTTCATGAAAATATATGTTTGGTTCATCGCCTCCTTGAGCTCAAGCTTACCATATCCCTCTTTACTCCCTTGACTGATCAAGCTCTATAACGCCCGCTTCATTTGCCGGACGCTGCTGTTACTACGAAAACCTGGCATTGTTTCTAGATAACTCTATTGATTTCCTCCCTAATGAGCCTCTGAAGCTTACTTCAATCGGATTGGGGCGTGCCAAAATTTATCGTTTGACATGAGTAAAGCTGAGAAAACGATGAGCTGAAGATAGGTAAGACCCAGTAAAGGAGAACATCCCAATTCGTGATTGCGGAGTTGATTCTCCTTTGCTTTGACGCTGACACAAGGGAGGTCGTTCAGGCGTGGTGAGCTTTTTCAAAATGGTCTTGTGCATATTGTAGGGGCACATACGAGGACCAGAAAACTGAGTTTCGTTTTCGCTGCGCGCTTCTACGAATAAAGAAAAACGTAAAAAATAGGTCGATGGTTCGGATCCCACCGAGGACAAAATTTTGCTTTTCTACAATTTTTCATTTTTTGGATCCATGTTTGTCTAAATAATTGGTCCTAATAAAAACATTCACGATGAACTGAACAATCCTACTTTTATGGAGCAAAACTGCTTTTTCGTTCGAATTCGTTAGTATGCACAGACTCAGCTCTTCGGCACTATGCCGGTGCCAGATGGCACTGGAACCGAAAATAAAGTCTAGAATCGTGATCAGGACTGTCGATTACCCCTAGGAGCAAGTTTTGAGCGAAAAATTTTTTTTGACTTTTTCGGGTTGTTGGGCCGACCATTTGGTCGGCAGTGTGAGCGGAGCTTCACATCTTCGTAACAGCGATGCGTATCGTTGACGCTACGGACACCGGACAACCCAATAAGCAAACCCAAGAAGGTCAAAACAATTGTTTTGACTGAAAATTCGTTTTTAGTGGTAATAAGTGGCCCTGATCACAAATGTAACACCTATTCTTGGCGTCCACGCAATTTGGCGACAGAATAGCGGTGAACGTTCCCTACATTGGTGTACATAACGAATTAGTGGAAAAGGAGATGTGGCCCCAAATTGTCTATAATTGACACCACACCAGAAGTTACTAAATTCGCAATCAGATCCACTGTATAGCCTATGAGGAACAACGTCCAGCAACAATCTTGTTCAATGGTGCGTGAAAATCGAAATACTTTAATAGCACTGACTCATGAGGTACAGCTACTCAGAATGTGCCCATAAATGGAAAATATCCGAGTTATATTCATGCGCAGACACAATGGAAGCGAGAACAGCGAAATCTAAAAAATGCAAAAAGCCACGACGCAAGGGGAGCCGAACCATCAACCCCACCCTCACTGTCCGATTGCGAAACCTCCACTCTATCCGCTAGGCCATCCGATGCTCGACTCTGTGTAGCGCTCTTATCGTTGATGAAACCATTGCAAGAAGCCGTTCACCCTTGAGCACATGACCCAAGTTGGAAGCTCACTTACGGCGATTTTTCGCTTCGATTCAAACGGCCCCTTTATAAGGACCCCCACTCAGCAACTGGTCAAAGTTTGCAAGTGACCTACGCCGCGCATTGGAAGCGCCAGACGAAGCCAGATTCCTTTTTTTCTTCCTATTTTTTTTTTGTTTTTTTTTTCTCCACAGATTTCTTTTCACTCGTTTTTTACCTTTCCCGGAAGCGCGCAGCGAAAATGAAGCACACTTTTCAGGTCCCTGCATGAGCCCCTACAATATGCAAAAAACCGTTTTCGAAAAGCGCACCACGCCCTGAACGACCTCCCTTGTAGAAGGAGCTGCTGACGCGGCATTCTCATCAAGTCCAGTAAGTGCCGTGGAAATGCCGCAGTGTGTGGAGTTAACTAAATAGGGAACACTAGCTAGTTGCTGCGCGTCTCCGCATCGCGAACCTTGCGACCGACACCTCGGGACACAAACCGACAAGGGAAGCTCGTTGTACCTTGGCTTGTGAAAGCTGCAAACTTTTATAGATGTTCATGTGTAAAAGTACTGACTGAGTAAACCCGTGCAAAACGTCAGGCTCATTCAGAACGTGGCGCCTCCTGTGGAACTTCCCGACGTGCCAGCCGGACCCATCACCCGATCGCGAGCCAGCCGAGACAAATTCCGTCGAATGGACACTGAAATGGAAGAACTACAGAAATGGGCTGCAGCAAATTAAAAGGCAGCTGTATTTCCTCGTCGTGTCATTTTTCGTTAAATTTCATGTATACTTTATGCTGTTAAGGTTTCACTTTGTTATCAGGCTTCACATTTTTAGGTGATCATGTGTTTGTTAGTAAGCGTTGGTAGTATAGTCAGCTTTATTCGTTATTCTGATGAAAATGGGTTTTTAGAGCAAATTATACCAGATTCAATTCATATACACAATAAACTGTGTTATACTATGTTCAGTGCTAAACTATGTGATCGCGATGGTGCAGTGGTAAGGAACGCCGCGCACACGATCCGGGAGTCATCCTGGATCGGCTCCAGCCCAGGCCAACCGAGCCTTCCATTCCTCCAGGGCAGGTGAGTTAGTACCAGACTCGCCTGGGAGGATAAAAACACTTAGAAAGCGTTTCTTCGATCCTTCTCAAAAAAAACGTTTTTTTTGCACAGAGTGCGGACAGATAGGACAGATCGAGTTGTTTATTTATTTATTTATGGACGCAAGTATGAGCCCACGTGAGTTCGTGTCGGCTGCATTGGTGTGCGCCACGTAGCTACTTTCACTGTGAGCTGCGAATGTTTTCGGAAGTACGCTTTCCCATGCAACCGCCCACCGATCTCACCCACGGTCGAGAACGCGAGGTACTGGTGACAAACGCATTGTAGTGGTAATAGACCTGTCCACCGCTCTTACCCACTCGAACTGAAAACGCCCACTGCAAGCGCTGCATGGGAAATAGTGGTGTCGCTAGATTGTGTACCCTCTGTCCGCTCGTCCGCTCTCTCTTACAAGCGCTCAGATGTTTTTTTTGCTGTAAACTCACATAATCCCTAAAATCAGCTGAAGAACGAATGCCTCTATTCAGGTTTTTTTGACGGCTCCTTTTTTCTCTGCGAGGGTGATTTACTTGAGACCTGAAAAACACGCTGCAAACCCTTCGAGCTTACCATGAACTGTGCCTTTAAATGGGTTGTAAATGAATGGTAAATGTATTCATTCTTTTGGAAGTCTACTTGATCTGGATAGTATTTGGTAGGACAAAGTGGTCGCTCTGATCACTGGGTCATTCAATTATTGGAAAATCAAAGTACCACAGGTGCAGACCTCCGGGACACCAAGGTTATTCCCATCGTTCTAACTGGTTCCATAGTCCTCAGGCACTCTTTATTCTCTGCATGAAGCTGATCGTCTCAGGATTTCATCAAAACTCGCCGGAGTGATGTCATCAGGTGAGGCGCATTGGTTATTACAAAAAAATATATTTATGAAAAACTGGATCGTACCCTTCAAATATTAGTATTGAAATAGTACTTCTCCTTCTTTATTGGATTGACGTCGCAGTCGAAACACAAGCAGCTCGCTGATTTCAACGACATAACTCGGTCGGAATTTTGCAAAGCCGTCTGGGCGGGTCTGGCACCAAACGGCTCTGGCGCCAGAAATGTATGTCATGTTCATAAGGAGACTCCCTGAGAATGAGATTGCAATACTTGAAACAGTGCACGGCGTTCATGAGGGATCCTCAGCAAGGGGAGCATTCGGTCCCTGGAGGGAGGTTACTTTCACTTTTGCAGAAAATGATTTCGTTTGTTGTCTTTTGTCAGCTTTTCCAGTTTCACATGCGCTGTACACCCTTCCCTCCCCCCTTTCCTTGCTCAACGACAGTTTTTTTTCTTGGGGGGGGGGGGCGTGGGGAAGTGGAGACATTTTGAGCAAAAACTTCGGGAAAGGAGAAATTCGAGGGAAATAAGAAAATAAGAAATGGAAGAGAGGGAAGGCATAGCAGAGGAAAAAATTTTGGGTCGTATTTTGCACGAGGCACGAGGCGAGAGGACGAGCACTGACTCGAGTAGCGCTGATAATTGGGTAGTGTAGCGCCTTTTACAGCTGCGCTGCAATGTGGCTTCAATACCAACCTGTGACTGTTTGCAGTCCTAATGAGTTCCAAACAATCACGTCAAAAAGGAGCCAAGAAATCTCTGACTAACTTTTCTTTTGCCGCCATAATACAGTAAATCAAACCAGTTTCTAATCTGGAACATCTACAACTTAGTCGGAGATCTACTGAATGAACTGCTCCAGTGACTCTATTTGGGAATAGCCTGACATACCCATATGTCAGGCAATCGATGGTCAAAATCCTCTCATTTGAAACTTTGATTTCTCCTTCATCTTCCCCCTCAAATCAGAGATTTTTCATGATTATTAATTGGTTTCAGTGAACCTTAAATTGCTTCAGTTTCTGTGGAGAAATGAGTTTGGTAGATCGACAACTGGACGGTGAGGTATACCTTTATTTATATCCTTTTCTACTGTTCCGTTGATCTGGTTTCTTTGCTACTGCACGTGTCCCTGGAAGAGGATGGCCCACGAGGGAACTGAGGATTTATCACATTGAAATATGACATTACTTGATTCGGACTTCGACCGTGTCCGGGAGGTAATGTCCATCGTATCGCGTCACGCAGAAGTAGTGGAGTGCCCCTTAGCTATTTGACAGTGCTGAAGCACTGTCGTGTTAAATTATTCTGGTCCCGTTACGAATGCCGCGCATATGCTTCCATTTGCAACACTTCTTTCGGTACCTCCACAGCAACATAAGTAAAATGCCTCACAACCTATGTAGGTAGCGCCTGAATGATGAGACAGTGATGGTCGCCAAAGCTTTGGGCACCGATCTCTAAAAGCGCACAGTTCTTTATCATTACTCACACTCACCATAGACTGATTCTTGGATTGACCCTTGCAGTTGTAAGAAACCAGCA